TGCCGCGGGCGCCGCTGCACCCCCGGGCCCACTTCAGGGTCCGTCCTGAACTCAGCGCCGACTTTCTCAGTGAACAGAAATCACAGCAGAGAGTGAGTGTCCCTTCCCCGCAAGAATGGAGTGAGGACCTGCGCCCAGGAATGGAATTTCCGGGCCAGGCGGGCGGGCTGCGCGCTGAGGGTGGCGCTGAGGGTGGACGGAGGAGAGGGAGCGAGGCCCCTGCGTCTGTGTGGACACCTCGTCCCGGGTCGGCAGGTGGGGACGCAGGCGCTCAGACAGCAAATGTCACCTGCGACCCGGAGCTGCCCAACTCACAGAAGGAATACACACTTAGGGGTACACGCTTAGGGGTACACACTTAGGGGTACACACTTAGGGGTACACACTTGGGGTACACAGTTAGGAATACACACTTAGGAATACAAACCTTAGGAATACGAACTTAGGAATACACACTTTAGGAATAACAATTTGGAAATGTACATCAAGGGTCCTTAAAAGCTTTATAACCTTTGATTAATAATATTACTTCAGGAATCCATCGTGAGGAAACAATTCCAAATTTTAAAAATGTTTTATACCCAAGGAGTTCTTCACAGGTGTATATATTACACCAAAAAATAAAATAACCTAATTCCAAAAATAAAGTATGATAAATACAAGCAATGAAAGCCCTGGCTGGGTGCTTAGTTTATTGGAGCGTCATCCACACACCGAAAGCTTGTGGGTTCAGCTCCGGGTCAGGCACATCCTAGGTCGCATGCAGGTTTGATTCCTGTTGGGCAGGTACAGGAAGCAACCAATGTTTCTCTCACATGGATGTTTTTCTAAAATCCAATAAAAAATGCAACCTCGAGTGAGGCTTAATATATATATATATACAACAGTGAAATATGAAAAAATCATATTTATGAAAAAAACAGGATCTGTTTTATCATGCAATCTCAATTTTTTTTTAAAGGGAGCGATTATGAAAACATTGGGGGAAAACAGTATTTATAAAGTTATAAAACTGTGAACACAGTATTAATTTAACAAAAATATGGATATAGTTGCACTGGTAGAAGCAGTGGGAGGGAGGAGTGCAGAGTCCAGAAGGAGGCACAGCTCTGAGCTGAGGTGGTTCCCGCCAGGAGACCTGCAGAGCGAGCACCCAGGAGGCCTTGCCTGTCAGTTAGACAAACGATAACTTTCATATCAATAAGAATTCAATGAAAAGGCCGAGGCTGAAAGAGTGTCTGAAAGGACTGACAGAGCCCTCTTTGGGAGTGAGTTCTCGCCCTGCCTATTGTTGTGTATTCTCACCTTGTCCATGCTAACCAGTCTCAGGAGGTCAGGACGTGCGCCGTGGAGGCGGCACCTCTATGGTGAGAGGAGGGAAGGGGCGCCCAGGGCCAGAGCTGGTGCGGGGGATGGCGAGCCACTTCTCCCCAATAGAGCACACGCGGCTGCGGACACGCCTCACGTGCAGGCAGCGTGCCACGCGGGCTCGGCGACACCCTCCCCTCGGAGGAACTGCAGCGGGAAGCGGGGCCCTCCCGGGAGCTGGGCCGAGGGGACAGGCAGCTGCTGAGCGTGACTGAGCCATTCCTAGGAAAGCAAAACAGTCCTTTTAAAACATAAGCTCGAAATTATAGCAGCAGAGACTTGAGGCTGTGGCTTTCTTATTATTTGATTCTCAGGATGACAAATCCGTCAAGGCAAATATGAACTTAAATAAAATGATACACAAGGACACTTCTAAGCTCTGAGCGTCTTCCTACAGAGAATCTGGTTTTCTTCTGAGGCGGGGACGGAAAGCGGCCTCCCGGGTCCCCATCTCTGAACTCTGGAGGAGATGAGTCACCTCCCCACACAGTGCCCCTGGGAGTGTGTTCCTCACCCACCAGAACTCACTCTTCAGGGGCGTCTATCCTGGCGGCCAGTGAGTTCTAAGGGCAAAGGCTGCAGATCAGTCAGACACCGAACAGAAAGCCGGCTACAAAGGGATGTGTCCGAATGAAGACTGAGCGACCCAAAGAAGACTCGCAGGCCCATGGAAAGGCAACAAGCAGACGGCAGAGTCCATTAGGCCCCCCGGACCTCGACTGTCTTCCTCTCAGGCCCCATCCCTACAGGCCGATTTACCTGCCAGCCCGGCCTCCCGGTGCCTCCCACTGCCTCGCACGCCTCACCTCTGTCAGAGCCTTCACTCACTCCCCCCTTTTTCATGTTTAAAATAATTCTGAAGGAACCAGATCCCATCTCATGAATCTTGAATATACAATGCCTACCTACCACTGGCCTGGTACACAGCACACACTCGGTGAATGTTTGTTAATTAACAATTTATTAGACTTGAAAATATTCAAAAGAGTATAGGCAGTTTGTGTCGTTTCCATGGTAACCCAGAGGCAGGCCAGGGTGTCTCAGGAGCCTTTTGTCTTCCTGATCAGCTCTTCCATGGTGTCCCACTGCTCCTTGGTGACCTGACACAAGAAAAGAAAGGGCAGCTTAACGTGGTCCTCGCATGTGAGAGCTCAGCGTCCAGCTGCTAATAGCATATGATATCCACGAAACGGCATTACCTTCTGCAGGCTGTTGAATTCTCCTGAGATAAATACTTCCTCCCCACCATCAAATCTAATGACCTGAAAATAAAAAATAAAAACTCTGAAATCAACTCCTTTCTCAAGTTTCTGAATCATTAGCCACTTTCTCATCCTTAGGTCTCTCAATCAAATGCCAAATTTTAAAGACAGACTTGATTAAACCTAAATTGATTTATTTTCTTTAGAATCTTCTTTCCACCATCTCTACAATTTCAAATTGTACCCAATCTTAAAGGCACGTCTACCAGAGTAATTTTTATTTAATAAAATGAATTTATCAATAAATTGATTCCATAGGCTGAGCAATGTATATTACTACTTGATATTATTTAAAGCTAAGTAACGATTTCAGCCACATTCGTATTCAAGATCATTAGGATCGGTTCCACAATGTGCCTCCCTCCGCCTCCCCCTCCCAGCGTGAGGAGGCCTCTGTGCTTACGGCCCCATTGATCCAGGAAGCGTAGTCGCTGCACAGGAAGGCAGCGAGGTTGGCCAGCTCCTCCACGGTCCCCAGCCGGCCGCAGGGGATCCTGTTCACCATCTCCTTCTCAAACGCTCCGGTCGGGTCCAGGCGGCTGAAGGCACCCTTGGCGATAAAGGAAATCATCAGGATGCATTTTTTAATGCCACGCCTTTCCCACTGAAGGAACAAACTGGCATGAAGTGGCATGTTATTAGGGCTACCTGTTCATGCCTTAGGCTTTGTAAGCAACAGATAATTTTGCCAAATTCTTCCACAATAACTTTAGTTCAAAAGAGATCATTTTGTCTCATATTGACCTAAAAAAAACCACCTGAGAGTATAACATTTTTAACCTGTTTCCTCAGCTGTAAAATCAGGACGCCTGTCTCGGCTGCCTCACGCCATCACCGAGCACCCCCAGGAGAGGCTAGGACTGCCCTCTGATGCGCACGAGCCCAGGTGGGGCCGGGGCCCCTGTCGCATGGCTTAGCAAACACAGAAAATGCCTCAAATAGCACATATTTAAGAGGACACTCCTTTTCTTCTCCTTTCTTCTCAAATAAGAGGAAAGAAGAAAACAAGTGTGCAGGGATATGAACAAGTAGACCCAGAGAGGAAAGCGCGGTGCAGCTTGTCCATCGCCAACAGCCCCTGCCTCCGGGGATGCCGAGGAGCAGACGAGGTGATTGCTGCCCCGGAGCCTGGAGGGGACACGTCCTCCGTGACAGGCTGCTCCCGGGAG